TTTTATTTTTTTAAAGAGATGTTTTAAAAGGAGATTTTAAGGAGAGAGATTTTGAAGAATGAGATTGCCCAAAAAAAAAAAAAAAAAAAAAAGAGATTGGTCAAAGGTGAAAAGAAAGGAATTTCTAGCTGGATGTGGTGGCACACGCCTGTAGTCCTAGCACTCGGGAGGCTGAGGCAGGAGGATTGCTGTGAGTTCTAGGCCAGCCTGGGCTACAAAGTAAGGCTAGACTGAACTACATAGCAAGACCTGGTCTCAAAAAGACAAAAAGTTTTTCTTCTTTTTAAAGAAATTATCCTTTTGTTTTAGTCCCAGTGAGATTATTAGTCATGTCAAAACCACTTAGCTTTGAGTCAGACATCACATGAGATCCAAAGGCCATCGTAAAACTCCTAGTAAATCTCAGGCAGGTGAGAACACTATAGGTTCAGGCCATGTTGGGTGCCAGTTATTAGAGACCCCTCCCATGGTGCCAGTTATTGGAGACCCTTGCAGTGGGTTCGAATCTCCTGCCTGGGTTATGGGTGGGAAAGGAAAAAAAATAAGAGGCAAAGTAGAGAGGTGCCTAGCAGAGATCTGGGACCACCAGTTACTGTCTAGGAACAAAAGACCATGAGGCACCCAGACCCTTAGTGTTTATTCGTTACCTCTGAGTCAAGAGCAATGAGGAAAGAGCAGTGGAATTTTTTCCTGGAACAGCACAGAGGCTGGTAGAATGGGCAAGTTTAACATCATAAAGAAAACGAGCCAAGATCCATCCCCATACCTGGGTGCTAATCTCACTGACTGAGACTGGTCCACAGGGCAGGCAGGGAAAGGAGAGCCTAGGACAGATACTATGTCAATTTACAGTTTGTGGTCCCCAACAGGCATACATCACTGTGACATGATGTCTTTCACTCTTTTGGGAAGGTACCTAGAAGTGGAATAGATGGAATGAATGGAATTTCTATTTTTAGTTTTTTAAGGAATCTCCATACAGGTTTCCATAGTAATTGTACTAGTTTACATTCCTGACAACAGTGTAAAAATCCTGTCACACACCC